CCCTACTACCGCCTCTTCCCCTACCGCACTCCGTCCCTCCCCCCGCCCCCGCTCTTCCTTGTACCAGGTCCCCCCCCGGTAGACCCCCTCCCCCCTCAGGGTCCTGCCCCTTCAGGTGTGTCCCAGGTAGACGCAGCCGAGCCTGTCGAGGTCACTGGTGACTCTGGTGCTGCTGAGGGTGCTGAGCCTAGGGGTGCTGAGACTGGGGGTGCTGAGCCTGGAGGTGCTGAGCCTGGGGGTGCTGAGTCTGGGGGTGCTACGCCTGGGGGTGCTGAGCCTGGGGGTGCTGAGCCTGGGGGTGCTGAGTGTGGGGGTGCTACGCCTGGGGGTGCTGGGTCTGGGGGTACTGAGCCTGGAGGTCCTCCGCCTGGAGGTTCTCCGCGTGCTTCGTCTCGTCGGGAGCCACTCTCTCCACACGAGCTGCGCGAGTGGTTTGCCCGGCGCTGGAGCCGTGCTGCTGGTGCTGGAGGTTCTTCGGCTACTGAGGGTGCTGCTGTTGCGGGTCCCGGAGGTGCTCGTACTGGGAGTACTGGAGCTGCTGGGCCTGCAGGTTCGACTGGAGCTGGTGCTGCTGAGGGTGTTGGCGCTGCGGCTACCACTGGTGGAGCTGCTGGAGGTGCTGCTGGAGCGGGTGCTCCTACTGGGGGTACTGGTGCTGTCCCTGCTGTTTCTGGCGTCGCTACGCGGCCTCGACCGTACTTCGTTCCACTCCTGCAGCAGGTTCTTGGTCTTCCGCCTTCTGCTGGTCCTCCTCCTCCCTTGGAGGGTCCACAGCCTGTCCCGTCGCAGTCACAGCTACAGCCTCCCTCCCCTTTGCCTGCTCCTTCTCCCTACACTGGTCCTACTGGAGGTCTTACTGAGCGTCGTGAGCCTGCGTCTCGCCCTGCGTCGCCTGTCCGTACTGCTCGCGCTAGTGGTCGTGGTTCGCGTCCGCGTCCTCCTCCTGTCCCTGGCACGCACCGGATGTCTCTGCGTCCGTCCACTGCTCCTCTGCGTGCCCCTTTGCCTTCTCCTCCTGAGTCCTCCCTTCCTGCTCTTCCCGACCCGGAGTCGGACTCTCTTCGTGCTGCCAGTCCTACTGTCACGCGTCTCCTTGCTACTGTCGTCACTGACCCTTCTTTCGAGTCTACTGCTGCGTCTGCCCTAGTTGCTGAGCTCGTCGACTTTGCTGCTCGCTGTCGCCTAGACTACGCTGCTAGTCTTGTTGCTGAGTCTGAGTCTGTCTGTCCTCCGTCCGTCGGGGGTGAGTGTGCCCTTGGCACGGACGTCCTTGAGGACAGGCAGGAGGAGTTCCAGTGTCTGGCAGCTGCTTCACCTCATCTCGTGTCCGTACTGCTTACCCCTGAGGGAGACCCGGATGCACTTGACATCCCGACTCCGCGCTCTTACGCGGAGGCGATAGAGGGTCCCTACTCCTCTCAGTGGCAGGCAGCTATGGATGCAGAGATGGCTTCCTGGAAGTCCACAGGCACCTACGTTGACGCTGTCCCCCCTCCTGGGGCGAACATCGTCAGTGGCATGTGGATCTTCAGGGTGAAGCGGCCGCCGGGTTCTCCGCCTGTCTTCAAGGCTCGTTACGTGGCTCGTGGCTTCAGGCAGCGGCAGGGAGTTGACTACTTTCAGACCTTCTCCCCCACCCCGAAGATGACCACTTCTCGGTACTGCTACACGTTGCTGCTCACCGTGACTACGAGCTGCACTCTCTCGACTTCAGCACTGCTTTCTTGCAGGGCAGCCTGCACGAGGAGATCTGGCTGCGCCGCCCACCTGGCTTCACTGGGTCTTTCCCTCCTGGTACCCAGTGGAGTCTCCGGCGTCCAGTCTACGGTCTCCGCCAGGCGCCACGTGAGTGGCACGACACACTGAGGACTACGCTTGCGGCTCTTGGGTTTGCTCCTTCTACTGCCGACCCGTCGCTGTTTCTGCGCACCGACACCTCTCTGCCGCCGTTCTACATCCTCGTGTACGTCGACGACTTAGTCTTTGCCACAGCTGACACTACTGGACTCGCCCACGTGAAGTCCGAGCTGCAGAAGAGACACACGTGCACAGACCTGGGTGAACTGCGCAGCTACCTTGGCTTGCAGATCACCCGGGACAGAGCACGCCGCACCATTACCCTGACTCAGTCACACATGGTGCAGCAGGTCCTTCAGCGCTTCGGCTTCACGTACTCCTCGCCTCAGGCCACTCCTCTGCCTACTCGCCACTCACTCTCAGCTCTGCCTTCGGATGAGTCCGTAGAGTCGAGTGGCCCGTATCCAGAGCTTGTTGGCTGCCTCATGTACCTGATGACCTGCACACGACCTGACCTTGCATACCCTCTTAGCATTCTTGCACGCTATGTTGCTCCTGGGAGACACCGACCAGAGCACATGGCTGCTGCGAAGAGGGTGTTGCGCTACTTGTGCAGTACGTCGGGCATGGGGCTAGTGCTTGGAGGGCGGAGTCCAGTGGTCCTCACTGGGCACGCGGACGCTTCTTGGGCTGACGACCAGGCTACGCAGCGGTCGTCACAGGGTTACACTTTCAGCCTCGGTTCCGGCTCTGTTTCGTGGCGGGCTACTCGCTCGTCTTCTGTTCTCGGCTCCAGTTGTGAGGCTGAGATCTACGCTGGGGCCATGGCTGCCCAGGAGCTTCGCTGGCTCGCCTACCTGCTGACCGACCTTGGAGAGCCGCCTCGTTCTCCTCCAGTCCTGTACGTAGACAACAAGGCCATGCTGGCCTTGTGTCGAGAGCAGAGACTGGAGCACAGAACTAAGCACATTGCTCTTCGCTACTTCCTTGCTCGTGAGCTACAGCAGCGTGGTCAGTTGCGGCTTGCGTACGTGGCCTCTGAGGCCAACACTGCTGATGTCTTCACCAAGGCTCTTCCGCCTTGTGATCATCAGCGCTTCTGCACTCAGCTGGGTCTTGTCCCTGTCTTGCCTCACTTGGTCACCCCTTGACCTTGCTTGTACTGTTACATATATATATACCTGCTCTTGCTTGTCTAGCCTTATCTATATATATATGTACTCCTGCATGTGAACTGGCCTTCTGGCCTTGAACTTGTGCTCAGAATGTGTGGTGACGTTGTGATCCACCCTGAGCTTGCCTTGCTTTGCTTTGCTTGACTGGTCTTGTGACCCCTTGTTCTCCCCCACTTTGCCTATGGGGGTGTGTCAGAACGTTATAGCTTATACTTTTGTGTAGGTTGTAGTGGGGTATCTCATAGGGGGTACAACCCAATTAGGGTTAGTACTTGTACCCACTTCATTCACAGTTCATCCACTCTTGTTTCTTCTCAGTTATTTCACTTCAGAATGAATCATCATAATTTCAGAAAGGTATACCGTGTGATTGTTTGATTTAGGACGTCAAAGCCACTAGAATGTGTAGATTCACTAGCTACGTGAACAAATGCGTATAGTTTAACGAAGCTGTTTTTGTTGCGAAAAAATCAAGGAATTTGGACCCAAGCTCCCCCTCCACACTAACGGGAATTCAAACACATGGCAGCAAAACCGGCAATACAATATTATGGACCACGGTTATGCTGGGCTTAAATTAATAGCAGATAATATATTCATGGCATTTGATATATATGGTTTTATATGGACCGGACATATGATAGAACTAATGGTAGTATATGTGCGCTCATATTGGTTGTTGGGCGACCCTTTATCGCCTAAAGATATGGTCCTGAATTATATGACAGTGCGTGATTGGACGCGCATTGCCAAAAAGGGCAAGAAGCATATTATCGACCAATCGTGCGCGGTCACTAATATGTTCGTGCATTTATGTTCCGGCGTTTTCAGTTTATGATCGCTGATGTATTTGCCCACGCGCTCATTGGTCGCGCATTGGGCCGAAAATGACCGCGCATCTACTGTTGTGAGAACGAGGAATTTCGGGGGTACTAACCCTTATAGGGTAATGTGCCGGGGAAAAAACACTTCGATAATGCCCTGGCATGGCCACTCGAGCAATTATCACTGAATTGGATGGCCACGCGAGCAAGGACACGTGGGCAAGAGCGAATCATCAAACAAGGCCCTGGAGCAATTCTCTCCGGCGATTTGTCTGACAGATTCACTACAGTAGTAGCATCCAGCATACATATTATTTGCCGTCCTGTCAGCAGCTCGCCAGGATTTCCGTCATTCTTACGTGTTGTTAATCGCATTTGTGAACCTACCTCCAGCTGACAGCGACTACCGAATGGATGTACGCAACTTCGGGACGACAGGTCCTTAGCGCGGACAAGCTACTAGATGGCTTGGCTTTTTAGCTTCCTGAAATGCGAGTCTGACTAGACCACGCACTAAGTCCGCTATACTTCCCAGGTTGTTACAGTCTTAGGTACGTCATTGTCAAGCTCCTGGTCGCTTCCGATTGGTCCCGGTTCCTCCCGGTTCCTATCGTCCGTATGTCAACCCCCCGCATTCTCCTCGCAATGGGAGGTGCTGTGAAGCCTTAGCGGAGAAGTTACTATCGTCCGCTTGCGCATGCGACGGATCATTTTCCACTCCGACCTCGAGTGCACTGGATCCTCGCTATAAGCGCTTGCAGATGACATGTCTCGAAGCTGTACCAATCTGACGAGAATTCCTCAGTTCTGTCACCGGAATCATAGGATTTACACATTCTTCGTACCATTGTACCTTGTACTTGCCCTTGCGTTCTTACTCACCCGTTGTAGAGCTGCTTCGATATTAGCTGATGACGATTCGGCACTGAAGTCCCCTTCAGCTAGTGTTTCCAGTAACCCTAATCGTCAATCCCGCCGTTTAACAGCCTTCACGTTTGTAGCACAGAGTGACCATACGCGGAGACGCACTAACGAGAGTTTGCTACCGTCTATCATCAATGGAGAGAGCAAAAACGACGACTCGATTCGTGCGAGCAAAATCGCAGGGACAATCGGAGGTGGCGGAAGCGGAAGCGGAAGCGGAAGGGGGGGAAGTGGCGGAAGCCTGGACACCAGCTTCAGGCGGAGACTATGGCAGCGGTTTATGGGCGGGGACGAGGCGGAGAAACACCAGGGGGAGAAGGAGCATGCGGGGATGGGGATGGTTCTGGAGCGAAGGGAGGAGCGGCGGGAGAAAATCACGCGGGAGTTTGTGCCGTTAGACCGGCTAGATCGCGAGGAAGGGGGACTGAGAGGGTTCGCGAATGGTCTCTCGCGGAAAGAGACGGGGGGAGGTGGCGGAACGGCGGATAACGGGGCTGGTTATAGTGAGAACAGCGGCAGCGGCAGTGGGGGCGGTGGCAGCGGTGGAAGCAGCTCCAACGGCGGTGCTGCTGCTGTAGCAGGCGCAGCATGGGTAGCTGAGGCAGGGGGGGATAGTAACGGCAAGGCAGGCTCGGGAGGTGGAGGGGGAGAGCAGCAAGGGAGCAACGGGAAGGGCAAGAAAGAGGCAGCGCAGACACAGCTAGACGAAGACGATATTCCTCTGCTTATGCCTTTAAAGGGGTTGTTTAAAAGCAAGGATCTTGACGAGGAGATTAAAGAGGAGGAGGAGGAGGAGCGGAAGAAGGGGGAGAGGGGAGCGGAGAGGAAGCGGCAGGTGGCGAGGCGGGAGTTTCGGAGCGATGATTGGAGTCACCTGGGGGAAGCGAGGGGGGGTTTGTCGTCTAGTGAAAGCGGTGCTGGTGGAGGAAGTGGCGCTGCTGCTGCTGGGGGAGCGAACACCATGGGTGCTGGGGATCACAGCGTGGGGGGTGATGGGTCTGCCAGAGATAGTGGTAGTGCTAGTAACGAAGCCAGCCATAGCGCGTCAGGTGCCTCTAACGGAGCTTCACAGGCAACTGCAGGTTCCACAGGCAGCAGCACTGGTGCCACAAACGAGGGCGAGCATGGGGCTGCTAAGCCAAGTGTGACTAAAACGAACGAGACGAATGGTGAGAAGGGCGGCGATGTGGGTCAGCTGGTGGGACGAATCCTCGACAGGCTGGACGATATGGAGGACGAGGGGGGTAAGTTCAACAAAACCCTCGAAAAACAAGAGGCAGTTCTGGAAACAGTCGCGCGGGTGGGTAAACACCACGTGCTGGAAGAGGTGAAGGAGAGGGAGCAGCGGGAGGAGCAGGAGGACCGACAGGTGTTAGAGGAAGCAGAGAGGGAGGAAACACAGGAGAAGATGAAGCAGCTAGAGCAGGTGGCTCTAGCCATGGCTGCTGCGGAAGCGGAAAAGAAGGCGAAAAAGAAAGGGGTGGCAGCGGTGGCGGCGGTGGTGAGCCAGGGGGTGAAAGCGAGCGAAGTGTCGCTGTTTGACCTGGTGTTTGGGCGGGATAGCAGCGGGAAACAACCTCCCCCAATCTCGCCCTCCCCCAGCCTCCGAACGAAGAACCTGACTAGGCTGGCCGCAGCTAAGAAGCGGTTTGCAGAGAGAGCAGGGCGGGGGGCGAGGGAGAAGGAGAGATCGGAGAGGGTGGAGGAGGGGGAGAACGATGTTCCGAGGCTGATAGACTCGCAGGACAATGAGTACGTTATAAGCAGCCCCGGTAAGGGGTCGAAGATGCAGCTGCAGGAAGACTTTATGCTTATATCGGATGTGGTGATGGTGATTGTGGCGGCGGCGCTGGGCGGGCTCGCGTGTGGGCTGGTGGGGCAGCCGATCATCCTGGGGTACATCGTTGCAGGGATGATCATTGGACCCGGAGGGTTCGGCTTGATTCACGAGCTCGTGCAGGTGAGGAGAGGGGTGAGGTGTGAGTGAGTGAGGCATGAGGGAGGCCCATTGATGCACTGGCGCCACTGGGATGGGCTCACATGGGTTGGTGGGGCAGCCCATCATTCTGGGGTACATTGTAGCAGGGATGATCATCGGACCCGAAGGGTTTGGTCTCATTCACGAGCTCGTACAGGTGAGACGGGATGGATAGACCTGGTCAGGGTTGTGCTGGTGCAGATAAGGAGAGATGTAAGCGAGTCACAGGGAAGGCTTGTGTTTGGGCTGGTGGGCAGCCGATCATCCGAGGGTACATCGTGGCAGGGATGATTATCGGACCCGGAGGATTCAGCCTCATTCACGAGCTTGTACAGGTGAGCCGAGGTGTGAGTGAGGCGTGAGTGAGGCATGAGTGAAGTGTCAATGAGGTGTGAGTGAGGCATGAGTGAAGTGTCAATGAGTGAGGCATGAGTGAAGTGTCAATGAGGTGTGAGTGAGGCATGAGTGAAGTGTCAATGAGGTGTGAGTGAGGCATGAGTGAAGTGTCAATGAGGTGTGAGTGAGGCATGAGTGAAGTGTCAATGAGGTGTGAGTGAGGCATGAGTGAAGTGTCAATGAGGTGTGAGTGAGGCATGAGTGAAGTGTCAATGAGGTGTGAGTGAGGCATGAGTGAAGTGTCAATGAGGTGTGAGTGAGGCATGAGTGAAGTGTCAATGAGGTGTGAGTGAGGCATGAGTGAAGTGTCAATGAGGTGTGAGTGAGGCATGAGTGAAGTGTCAATGAGGTGTGAGTGAGGCATGAGTGAAGTGTCAATGAGGTGTGAGTGAGGCATGAGTGAAGTGTCAATGAGGTGTGAGTGAGGCATGAGTGAAGTGTCAATGAGTGAGGCATGAGTGAAGTGTCAATGAGGTGTGAGTGAGGCATGAGTGAAGTGTCAATGAGGTGTGAGTGAGGCATGAGTGAAGTGTCAATGAGGTGTGAGTGAGGCATGAGTGAAGTATCAATGAGGTGTGAGTGAGGCATGAGTGAAGTGTCAATGAGGTGTGAGTGAGGCATGAGTGAAGTGTCAATGAGGTGTGAGTGAGGCATGAGTGAAGTGTCAATGAGGTGTGAGTAAGGCATGAGTGAAGTGTCAATGAGATGTGAGTGAGGCATGAGTGAAGTGTCAATGAGGTGTGAGTGAGGCATGAGTGAAGTGTTCATGAGGTGTGTGTGAGTAAGGTGTGAGTGAAGTGTGAGGGAGGTGAGGCCCATCGAGGCACTGGGAGGGAGCTTGTGTGTAGTCTCATGGGGCAACCAGGTATCAGACGGGGAATGTCAATCTGAAGGGGGCTGGGGGAGTGACGGAGCAGCCAAGGGGCCTGGTCTGGGGTTCATTGCCTTGACTCCCTCTCCTCACTCTCTCCCTCCCTTTCTCACTCACTCCCTCCCTCCCTCCCTTCCTCTCTTCTGTGGGAGGGTTGGGGGGAAGAGCCCTTGCATTTTCTCCACTCCTCCTCTTTCACGCACTCACTCTCTCCCTTCCTCCCTCCCTCTCTCTCGCTCTCTCACTCACTCACTCCCTCGCTCTCTCTCACCCGCAGGTGGAGACCCTAGCTCAGTTCGGGGTGGTCTTCCTGCTCTTTGCCATCGGGGTCGAATTCAGCCTCGCCCGCATGCAAGGCGTGCATGCTGTGGCGCTAGCGGGCGGCATAATTCAGATCGGTCTGTCCATGGTGCTGGGCGGCATCGTGAGCTCCAACACGCCCCAGGGGCTGTTCATCGGGGGATTCCTCTCCATGTCGTCCACTGCCGTGGTGCTCAAGTGTCTGATGGACATTAACAGCATGGGCACCGAGCACGGGCAGGTATGGCTGTGGATGGGATGGGATGGGGGAGGGGATGGGAGGGGGGAGAAGGGGTTAGGTGGGCTTAAAAAGGCATCCAACACTCCCCAGGGGCTGTTCATAGGGGAATTCCTCTCCATGTCGTCAACAGCCGTGGTGCTCAAGTGCCTCATGGATATTAACAGCATGGGCACCGAGCACGGGCAGGTACGGCATTCTGCTCCGCGAGCTCCTAATCCTCCTCGCCTTTGCCCTCGTCGCCTGGCTGCGCTGCTCAACTGTGTTGTTGTCCCACTTTCCCGCTTCCTTCCCCCCGTCCCCTATCTCTCCCGTTTCCACCCCACCGGTTTCCATGCCTCCCTCCCTCACTGCATCAGATCATGCTTGGAACCCTCATCAGTCAAGATTGCGCCCTTGGTCTCCTCCTCGCAATAATGCCGCCCGCCCTGCCTCCGCCTCGGCCATTCTGCTCGCCCTGCTCCGCGAGCTCCTAATCCTCCTCGCCTTCGCCCTCATCGCATGGCTGCTCGCCCGCTTCTTTGTGCCCCGCTTCCTCCCACTCCTCCTTTCCCCCTTTCCAACACCCCTTCTCCCTTTACACTCCCCCTCCCCTCTCCCCCGTTCAGATCATGCTTGGCACTCTCATCTCTCAAGATTGCGCTCTTGGCCTGCTCCTCGCAATAATGCCAGCCCTCGCCGCCCGCCCCGCCTCCGCCTCAGCCATCCTGCTCGCTCTCCTCCGCGAGCTCCTAATCCTCCTCGCCTTCGCTCTCATTGCCTGGCTGCTCGCGCGCTTCTTCGTCCCCCGCTTCCTCCCGCTGCTGCTGCGCCTGGCGCGCGGGTCGTTCAACAGTGAGATCTATCACTTGGGTGTGGTGGCGATCTGTCTGTGCGTCGCTCTGCTCTCTGAAGGGCTCGGACTGTCGCTCGAAGTGGGAGCTTTTGTAGCTGGCCTCATGCTCTCAGGTGAGCCTTCTTTCATCTCTTCTTCTGCTGCTGCTGCTGCCTCCTCCCCCTCCTCCCGCTGCTACTGCGCCTGGCGCGCGGGCCATCAGTGAGATATACCACGTGGGAGTGGTGGCTGTGTTTCTCTGCATCGCTCTGCTCTCTGAAGGGCTTGGACTATCCTTGGAGGTTGGAGCCTTTGTGGCTGGCCTCATCCTCTCAGGTGAGCGTTTGCTGCTTGTTTCCTGTGAGCTTCCTGCTGCCCCCTCCTCCTCCTCCTCCTCCTCCTCCTCCTCCTCCTCCTCCTCCTCCTCCTCCTCCTCCTCCTCCTCCTCCTCCTCCCCCTCCTCCTCCTCCTCCTCCTCCTCTGAGCGTTTCCTTTCTGCTGCTGCGCCTGGCGCGCGGGTCGTTCAACAGTGAAATGTACCACTTAGGCGTGTCACTGGTCATGAAGAAGAGCTGCAGCGTGAACCGAAAGTACAGCTCTATTCAACAGTGAAATGTACCACTTAGGCGTGTCACTGGTCATGAAGAAGAGCTGCAGCGTGAACCGAAAGTACAGCTCTATTCAACAGTGAAATGTACCACTTAGGCGTGTCACTGGTCATGAAGAAGAGCTGCAGCATGAACTGAAAGTACAGCTCTATTCAACAGTGAAATGTACCACTTAGGCGTGGTGGCGGTCTGTCTGTGCATCGCTCTACTCTCTGAGGGGCTCGGACTGTCTCTTGAAGTGGGAGCCTTTGTGGCTGGCCTCATGCTCTCAGGTGAGCTTCCTCTCTCCTCTCCTCCCGCTGCTGCTGCGCTTGGCGCGCGGGTCGTTCAACAGTGAGATACCACCTGGGGTTGGTGGCCGTGTGTCTCAGCGTCGCTCTGCTCTCTGAAGGGCTGGGGCAGGAGGTTCAACTCTATTCCCCCTTCCTGTTCTTCTTCCTCTCCCCTTCTCTCCCCCTCTCTCCCCCCTCCAGGCAACAGCTACAGCGAGCGAACGTTACACCAAGTGGAGCCAATCCGCAACCTCTTTTCAGCGCTCTTCCTGGCGAGCATAGGCATGGTCATGGTCATGGTCATGGTCATGCACCCACTCCCTCACCATCCCCACCTCACTCCACCTGCCTTCCCCCACTCAACCAGGCAACAGCTACATTCTTTTAACTCTCTTCTCCCTTCCTGTTCTTCTTCCTCTCCGCCCGTCCTCTCCCCTTCTTTCCTCCCCTCCAGGCAACAGCTACAGCGAGCGAACACTACATCAAGTCGAGCCAATCCGCAACCTCTTTGCAGCACTGTTCCTGGCGAGCATAGGCATGGTCATGCACCCCCTCTTCCTCTGGCAGCACATCGACATCCTCCTCATTGCTGTTGCCGTGGTGTTCGTCTCTAAAGCCTGCCTCGTTGGGTTTGTGGTGAGTGGTAGTGAGGGGTGGAATGGGATGGTGAGGGTTGTGGAAAGCCTTGCCTTGTGTCACCTGCTTCCCCCTGGCTCTCTGCTCTTCCTGGCGATCTTAGGCATGGTCATGTACCCGCTCTTCCTCTGGCAACACATCGACATCCTCCTCATTGCTGTTGCTGTCGTCTTCGTTTCCAAAGCCTGCCTCGTGGGATTCGAGGTGAGTGCTGCCTGTGTCTGAGTGCTGCTGAGGGGTGGTGAGTGGTGGAGAGGGGTGTGAGGAGCCACTCTTCCTCTGGCAGCACATCGACATCCTCCTCATTGCTGTTGCTGTGGTGTTCGTCTCTAATGCCTGCCTGGTGGGCTTCGTGGTAAGTGGTGCTGAGCGGTGGTGAGGGGTGTGAGGAGCCTGGTCTCGCCTGCCTGCTTCTCCGTGGCACTGTGTGCTCTTCCTGGCGAGCATAGGCATGGACATGTACCCGCTCTTCCTCTGGCAACACATCGACACCCTCCTCTCTGCTGTTGCTGCGGTGTTTGTGTCCAAGGCCTGCCTCGTTGGGTTTGTGGTGAGTGCTGCCTGTGTCTGAGTGCTGCTGAGGGGTGGTTAGGGGTGGAGAGAGGTGTGAAGAGCAGCTCTTTCTCTGGCAGCACATCGACATCCTCCTCATTGTTGTTGCCGTGGTGTTCGTCTCCAAGGCCTGTCTTATGGGCTTCGTGGTGAGTGGTGGTGACTGGGGAGTGCTGCTGAGGGGTGGTGAGGGGTGTGAGGAGCTGTTCTTCAGAATATCTTTCTCTTTTTCAAGAGGTCTCTCCTATTCTCTCCACGGACCAAATGTCTCTTTCTCCCCTCCCGAACCAACCAGGTTCGGGCGTTTGGCTACAGCACCGGCACCGCCGCCTCAGTCGGGGTGGCTCTAGCACAGATCGGCGAGTTCTCCTTTGTGCTGCTCTCCCGCGCTCAAACCCTCAAGCTCGTCGGCCACAAGCTCATGGGGGCCACCGCTCTCTCTGCTCTCTCTCTCTTTCCCCCTCACCCTCCCGTTCCCCCTCCCCTCCCGGACCAACCAACCAGGTTCGGGCGTTTGGCTACAGCACCGGCACAGCAGCATCAGTCGGCGTGGCGCTAGCACAGATCGGCGAGTTCTCCTTCGTGCTGCTCTCCCGCGCTCAAACCCTCAAGCTCGTCGGCCACAAGCTCTACCTCCTGCTCATGGGCACCACCGCTCTCTCTCTCGTGCTCACCCCCTTCACCTTCCTCTTCGTTCCCCGCCTCGCCCTACTCTTCCCCTCCACTCGCTCCCGGCCCCGGGCTAAGGCGTCCGCGTCCCCCGCTCCTGCTGCTGCACAGGAGAAGATCAAATCGGGGTATGGGATCAAATCGGCGGCTGTGAATGGGGTGGGCGGGGAGGATGGTGGTGGTGGGGGTGGTGGCGGTGGTGGGTTGTTGGGTGTTTTGTCTGGTAGTGGGGGGGGTGGTTCTGGTGGAGGTGCAGCTGGTGGGAACCCTGGCGGGGGTAGTGGTGATGGTTATCACCACCATGCGAGTCCATTAACTGGGTTTTCCCCTAGAGACGCAGCAGCAGCAGATTCAGGTGATTCCTCAGCTGTTGTTTCAGGAGGCGTATTGTCGTATCTGCTGCGGCAGGTGCAACCACGCACTCGGAACTCTGCTAAAGCTGCAGGAACGACAGGTGGTGGTGGTTCAGCTGGTGCTACTGCTACATCTGCTGCCTCTGCTGCTGCTGCTGCTTCTGGTACTGCTGCTGGTGGCTCCACTAAAAGTGATGTGGTATCAACATCACAGTCAGGGTTCGGTCGAGCTCTAAGCGTTGGTGGTGGCAGCACTGTTCTCACTGTAACCAGCAGTGGAACAAGCAGTGCTGTTATGAGTACCAGCACAAGCATGGGACGAAGCAGCAGCAGCCGCACAGAAAGAGAACACAGAGATAGAGACTGGGATCGAGACAGGGACAAGGACAGAGTATCAGCAGCAGCGGCAGCAGCAGCAGCTGTAACAGAAGCCTTAAATCGAGCAGGAGGGGGAGCAGCAGCAGCAGCAGCAGGATTTGCTATAGAAGCTTCCTCCTCCTCGTCCTATCCTCACGCCCTCGTCTCCCCAACATCAATATCACCCGGTATAAGCCCACCCAGTATAACCACATCCGGTGCAAAACCTCCCACCAATCGCCCCTGGGGCTCCCCAAGAAATGCACAGAGGCTGTTGGGGAAAACAGTGTCGGGGAAAGGCCTGGTGCAGAGTCCCAAGGTGGCTGGACAAAGCCCAAAGGTCCCGAGTCAGACTCCCAAGATTGGAACCCAGAGCCCGAAATTGGCTTCACTTGGGGAAAACGCGCAGGTGACGAGTCCAACAAAGGGGTTGCGAGAGGTTGGGAGGGGTGCGGGGACAGGGGGGACAGGTGGAGGGATGGGGGGGTCTGGGGTAGGGAGGTCACAGCAGGGGGTCCAACAGCAGGGGCAGCAGCAGGAGCAGCAGCAGGGAGGGCAGCAGGAGCAGCAATGGGGGCAGCAGGGGGGAGGAATGGAGGATGGGGATCAGCGAGGGGGCTATCGGTTCTCCACCGCTTCGTTTTTCACAAGGTGGAATCAGAAATCTCCCAGGGAGCATGGACCGTGAATGAGAGACTGGAGCCTTCTCATAGTTGTTGCGTTTGGTTTGACCTGTTTCTGTTGTGATGAATTGTGGAGAGTGTAGTGGTGTGTGCTTAGATACGACGTACAGCCTACTTGCACATGAGTGGCTCAAGTAGTGCTTTGCGTTGCATTAGGCCGGTTTCTACCTCTTTTTCTGGTTGAAAAATCTCCGTACTGATACCCTTTTTTCTCCAGCACAGAGCCAGTGTATCTGGGCAGGGCAACGTGGAATATGCTCTCAACTCATCAGATTAGATACACCTTGAAAAACCTGTATCTGATTTTCGGATTGGTAAACTGTATTCTCAGAAGCAGGATGTTTCAATACCATAGATGATTGATTCCGTCAAAAATCTTGTTACATTGGCTAGATCTCACACACAACACAAGCAAGAAGCAAGGTGAAAACAAGACAACCACTCAACAGCTACATACACGACTGGGAAGCACACACACACACACACGGCTTTGGCTCAAGTGCCATACAGCCTCCTTTCACTCCCCCCACCCCTTCCTTTTTCCCCACACCAGCCATTGTCTCGCTCTCGCCATGCTCCTTCATGGCAGCAACTATCACGGACAAAGATAGTATACTGTGCACGTGTGTGTGTGCTTTTGTGTGTGTGCGCACACAACCTTCATGGTAACTTAGTAACCAGCACAACCCTCACAGCTCAAGCCCCTGCTGAAGCCACCACCTCCGCCACCCCTGGCTTTCTCTCCCTCACGATAATTCTGAGTGGCTTAGCCAGATCCATGGTAACCCTGTAACTATGTAACCAGCTCAACCCAGTTAATCCCCATGCAACACCACTTGCAGCTCATGCTCCTGAAGCAGTCACCACCGTCCCTGCCACTGGCTTTCTCTCCCTCACCACAAGCCTGAGTGGCTTAGCAAGAGCCATGGTCAGCCCAAAAGTTTCCGTCATGTCCACTCCTCCAGCTGCCCTAACATCTTCGGGCAGATTGAAATCAAACCGCAGAACGAAATTCGCCAGCAGGCGGGCAGACAGATCCAACCCCAGGTTCGTCCCGAGGCATCCACGCCTGCCCGAGCCAAAGGGCAGCAGGCTGAAATTTTGCCCGCTCACGTCAGGAGCAGCAGGATCAAGGAACCTAGAGGGGTCAAATTCGTGCGGGTTGATCCAGACCGTTGGATCGTGTGCAAGAGCCCAAGCATTGATCTGGATCATGGTGTTGGGAGGGATGTGGTAACCACCCAGTGTTACGCTGCCAGTTGTCAGGTGAGGAATGAGGAACGGAGCGACTGGGTGATGCCTAAGTGTTTCTTTTAAAACAGCCTGCAGGTATGGCATTTCCGCTACTGGAAGAGAGACCATCAAGTCCGATCCTCCTGCTCCAGCCACCCCAGCTTTTGCAGCTGCACTTTCTGACCTGGCATACTCATCCACCTCAGCTCGAAGCCTTTCCAGCATGTCAGGGTGCTGCGCCAGCTCAGCAAGCGCCCATTCCACGATCTTAGAAGTGGTATCAGTCCCGGCCATCATCATGTCAACTGCGAGCATCAGCATCTCGTCTTTATCCATCTCATCCTCTCCCTCCCCTTCAATCTCGAACAACACGTCAACGAGTGCCGTCTCGTTCCCTTCGTTTGAGGAACATCCCTTCTTCAGCACGATCCGCCGTCGCTCCTCGATGCACGCGCGCATGAAGCCGTGCAGCTGCGGCGCGAGGCGCTGCGCGCGTGCGTACATGCGCTGCGGGTCCAAGTAGCTCAGAAAAGGGACGTAATCCGCGATATTGAATGCTCCTGCAACTGCGAAACCCTCCTCGATAATCGCAAAAGCCACTTCGCCTTCCGTCTTCTCTGACAAAGGCGACGAGTTATCTCCCGCCACGTTCTCTGTCAGAGGAGATAGTAACTTCGAATTATCTTCTTCCGCTGCCACCGAAGCCTCAGACCCCGTATCTGGAGGTACGGCAGCCGCGGCAGCAGTGCCGAGGGCCCCGTTCATTGCGGCGATGCGTTCGTTCCAGTCGATGCGCATCGCGGCGTCGAGAAGTGCCTTTGGCGTGGTGCCGGCCGCGCCGCGAATTGACGAATAGCCGAAGCGCTTCCCGACAGCAAGGCGGAGAATATTGTTCAGCGTAGCGCGATTCAAATACCTTCGCACCTCGATCCCCTCCTCTGCAGCGGCGGCAGATTTCGCGGCACCAGCAGCATCACGGCTACTAACAGAAGTAGTAGCACTTGTTTTAGTCACATCTGCAGCAGCAACGTCAGCAGCGATTGCATCGAGCATGTCGCGAACCTCCCCCTCTCGCACGGAAAGGCTCTCCTGCAGTTTCTTCGCAGAGAGAAGGTGGAGCGTCGCCAGCCGTCGCATCTTTCGCAAATGATCGTTGGCTGGCGAAAACGCGATGTTTTTTCCGTCGAGAGTGAGCATCGCCACGGTGGGAGGAAGCGGACGTGACGAGCAAAGCCTATCCTTCGTTTTAAGCACCTCTCGAGCGATTTCCGGCGAAGAAATTACTACTGAAGGCGTGGAACCGAACCAGACGCTCAGGATCGGGCCGTACCTGTCGGCCAGCTTCGCGAGGGAGCGGAAAGGCAAGGGTCCCAGGTCCGGGAGGTTGCCGAGGATGGGCCATGGGGAAGGGCCGGGGGGGAGGGAGCGACGGCGGCGGAGGAATGAAAGCCACGAAGTCGAAATGAGAACCGCGATGGCTGCGATCACGGCTGTGATAATAAAATGCGAGTCGGCTGATACCAGACTTGAAAATTCGACTCGGCTTGACGAGGCTGGGCCAGGGAAAAGCTGCTGGGTCGAGTTGAATTTGCTAGAAGACCATCCTGTGCCAGGAAATGCATCAGCGGCAGCCATTGCGGCAGAACTTGCTCGCCTGGTATGAGAGTGCAGAAAATTGCGAGAAATCTGAGGCTGAATCAGTACTTGGCAGCTGCAAGAAAGAAAGCTAAGCTATATCTGGAGATACTCAGAAGAGTAGAGAGAAAAGCAAGTCGTAGTATGGTGCTGGGATAGCACAACGTGCGGCGCATTTTATGTGGCAATCTTTGTGAAGCCATTTCCATTTGCCTTGGGACTGCGCGCCGCGTCCTGAATTCCAGATTGCAGGATTGAAGGCTGGGCAATGCCGAACCGCAAATTGCAGCAATGAGGTGTCCATCTTCGCACGCTATGACCAGGTGACCAGTTTCGCACGCAAGGCTAGTTTCGTTCGCATGAATTGTTCCCTGCTGGACAGGGCAAGCAAGCTTGACTAGGCGAGAAAGACGAAAACCGTCGTTACGAGAGGCTGAGGTAAGCAACACTTTCGTGGAAGCTTTTGGAGTGCGAAGATATGTGTCCGTTTTCGCCGACCGCATGTGTGCTGCTTTCAGCACATTCGTTAAGAATAGCACACCGATGGGGAGATGAGTAATAGTGACAAGCAATATAAATTGGTGAGTTTTTATGCTCTCCAACCTAGCTTCTGGACTCAGGTGCTCACAACACAGGATTGTGGGTTGATGTATCTTTATGTTACGAGAGAAATTCAGCAAGTGAGCGAGAATCGCACTATCGAAGCAAAAACAGTACAATGAGCGAAGAATATATAGCAAACTAGAGCGGTAACGGTAATGCGAGAAATTGGGGTGCGCTAAAGGCCTAGCGCCGAGGTTGGGATGTGTCGAGGCGGAGGTCCGGAGCGTGGGTTACCAACCGAACCGTGAGGTTGGGTCGCATCGTGAACAGTGGCGGGAGTCGTGGTCGAGGCGAGTGTCGCGAGCGGGTAACGTTTTACTGTTAGGTGTTGATGGCGGGAATGGTCTTGTACGCGGTAAGCAGGGGCGCAATGTAAGGAAAATGATTTTTCCTTACACTACCCCCTTCCCCAAGGAGGCCCTCCTTACGAGAGCGCATGTACATCTCGAAAATTTCGGCTGCGCAGATACTCAGTGAGGACAGGGTGGTTCTCAATTCTATCCAAGGGAACCCAGTTGTCTTCGGTGGGCGTACGGACTTTCCAGCGGATCAGGAATTCGACCCTGCGGGCTCCCCGTGGGTCGCGTACTCGGTGGCTCAGTAATCTTTCGGGCGTGCTGATTGGTTCTGTCGGCGGCCGTGTCATGCTGGAGGGGCGATTGCGAGGCAGTTGGTTGGTGGATGGCACGTATGGGTGAAGCAGGCTCACGTGGAATGACGGGCTGACGTACCAATCAGCAGGGAGGAGGAGGTGGGCGGTGACGGGTGTGATCATGTGGCTGATGCGAAATGGCCCGCAATATCAGGGGCGGAGTTTTGGGGTGATGAGCAGGCGGAGGTTTTGGGTGTCGAATAGTACGAGGTCGTCGGGCTGGTAAGTGACGGGTCGGCGGTGGCGATCGGCGTTACGCTAAGCGATGATGTTTGATTTTTTATTGCGTCTGCTGCTCGGGTCCGTGCTGCTTGAAAAATCCCTGCAAACTGTTGCACGCGTGGCACCGGGTTGTCGGGATTCGAAGTCATGGGTACTGTAGGGTCTTGTCCGTGGTTCAGGTAAAACGGTGACTGTTGGGTCGTGGCGGATGACGAGTTGTTGTACGCGAACTCGATGAGTGGCAGTTGCTGTTCCCAAGTGGTCGGGTCATCGTGTCAAAGTTATATGACATAGCTACTGTAGGCTATAGTGGGGTAGCACATATGGGATACAGTTGCCTAGGGTTTGCCTTTTGTACCCAACTTTCACTTAGTCAATTCATTCCTGTTTTCTTGATTCACATGGTATAGAGCGGGTTCCTACATGGGACCGTTCCTTCTTAAGGGCCCACCATAAGATTTTTTTTTTTTTTAGCTGCCCGCGCACATTGCGCCCTGCCCTAAAAGTTTTTTTTTTTAGCGGCCCCTACGCTGCCCCTACGCGGCCCCTACGCCGCCTCCCACGCGCCCCCTATGCGGCCCCTGGCGGCGCCCTGACGAGGCCCCTGCCGGCGCCCTATCGCGGCCCCCTGACGCGCCCCCTGGTGGCGCCCTGACGCGGCCTGACGCGGCCCCTGGCGGCGCCCTGACGCGGCCCTGCCGTGGCCCCTGACGCGGCCCTGACGCGGCCTGCCGCGGCCCCTGCCGCGGCCCTGAAGCGGCCCCTGACGCGGCCCTGACACGGCTCTGCCGCGGCCCTGACGCGGCCCTGACGCGGCCCTGCCGCGGCCCCTGGCGGCGCCCTGACGCGGCCCTGCCGCGGCCCCTGGCGGCGCCCTGACGCGGCCCCTGACGCGGCGCCCTGACGCGGCCCCTGCCGCGGCCCCTGCCGCGGCCCTGACGCGGCCCTGCCGCGGCCCCTGACGCGGCCCTGACGCGGCCTGCTGCGGCCCCTGCCGCGGCCCTGAAGCGGCCCCTGACGCGGCCCTGACGCGGCTCTGCCGCGGCCCTGACGCGGCCCTGACGCGGCCCCTGCCGCGGCCCCTGGCGGCGCCCTGACGCGGCCCCTGACGCGGCGCCCTGACGCGGCCCTGCCGCGGCCCCTGACGCGGCCCCTGCCGCGGCCCCTGACGCGGCCCCTGTCGCGGCCCCTGACGCGGCCCCGCCACCTACCTTTCCGGCCACGCCGCCTCCTCTCAGCGGCCCCGCCGCCTCCTCCCAGCGGCCCCGGACGCCGCCCTCTCAGCGGCCCCGCCGAGCCGCCCAGCAGCCTAGCCGCCCAGCAGCTGAGCCACCGAGCTGCCCAGCAGCCGAGCCGCCGAGCCGCCCAGCAGCCGAGCCGCCCAGCAGCAGAGCCGCCGAGCCGCCCAGCAGCCGAGCCGGTGAGCCGCCCAGCCGCCGAGCCGCCCAGCAGCCGAGCCGCCCAGCAGCCGAGTCGCCGAGCCGCCCTGCAGCCGAGCCGCCCGAGCCGCCCTGTCCGGTAAGAGCAGCGCCTCTCTCACAGCACTGCCCTCACCCCACTGTTTGCGCTGCTAGTCTACTGCTGTCATGGCTACCCCTAGTGTCCTCGCTTTTGACGCTGAGGGTCGGGCCATTGACTTTGACGTCTGGATAGATGACCTGCAGCTTTTCTTACAGTGCGATAGGGCAGACGGCCTCTCCCTCTTTGACCTCACTTCTGGTGCCTCTCCTGCCCCCGCCACTGATGCTGACGCAACTGTTCGCTCCCAGTGGGCCACGCGCGATGCTGCTGCACGTCTTGCTGTGCGTCGCCACCTGCCTACCTCTGAGCGTGCGCACTTTAGCCAGTACAAGAGTGCTCAGACCTTGTACGACGCTGTAGTTGCACGCTACTCCTCCCCTGCCACTGCTGCACTGAGTCGCCTCATGCTACCGTACCTCTTCCCTGACCTTGCTGCCTTTCCCACAGTCGCTGACCTCATTACGCACCTACGCACTAGTGACACTCGCTACCGCGCTGCGCTTCCTGCTGAGTTCTGCGCCAAGAACCCCCCCCCCCATGTACATCACCCTCTACTACATAGTCACCCGGCTCCCTGACTCCCTTCGCGTAGTCAGGGACCACTTCCTCTCAGTTTGCCCCACCACTCTCACCGTTGACCTCCTCGAGAAGTCCCTCCTAGCAGCAGAGAAGAGCATAGTAGCTGTAGGAGCCTCTCGTGGTGACCCTCGCACCCCCATCTTTGAGGGGTGTTCCCCCTCCCCCCTTTTGCCCTCTGTTGCCTCTGCTGCTGCGGCCGACCTCGTTGGGCTTGAGTCGGTCGGTGCGGCGTCTACCCCTAGCGGGAGACGCCACCCTGGCAAGGGCAAGGGGGGCAGGGGCGCTGGAGGAGCTAGCGGGGGCGGTGGAGGCGGCAGTGGAGGCGGTGGAGGAGGTGGGGGTGGCGGTGGGGGTGGTGGCGGGGGTGGAGGTGTCGGTGGCGGCAGTGGAGGCGGAGGCGGCAGCGGCAGTGGCGGAGGGAGCGGAGGTGGCGGCGGTGGAGGAGGCGGCGGAGGAGGTGGAGCTGGTCGGGGTGGCGTTGCGCAGAGGGTCGGCTCCGGTGGTGGTCAGCGCCAGCAGCAGCACCAGCAGCGCACTCGTGACATCCCCTCCCCTCAGCAGCTCCGTGAGTGGTACACTGCACGCCAGAGGGGTGGGGGTACTGGTCCGTGCACCTACGTCCTCCGCACCGGCGACCGCGCGGGTGAGCAGTGCGGGGGTGCGCACTCCACCCAGCGCTGCTTTGGCCGCCTGACGGACGCTTGGCGTCACCAGTTCCCTGAGGCCACTGAGATCCCCCGCTGGGGTGAGCTGTCTAGGGCGGGTGTGGCTGTCTTTGACCTTGACTTTGATGCTATTCTTGCTGCCATGTATACTGTGACTATTAGTGATGAGGGTGACTGTTACCGGTGTTTTCCGCCCGACCCGGGCATTGAGACTGCTGCTCTAGGTACTGGTGAGGCTGCTGCTCTAGGTGCTAGCGAGG